AGAATACAAGTTGCTTTGTGTAGATCTAAGTGTATATGCATGACTATGTGTGTTTTCCATGAATTATTTGGTGATTATGTGTTGATTACTTCATTAATCTAAAAACATGTTAAGAACTTAAAGTTTATCACTTGGATCTTCATAAGAACCTTGAGAAAAGTATGTTTTATCACATATGTTACATATAAACTTGTAGATCTAGGAATTATACACTTAAAATAGCAAAAATGAGTGTTGTGCTCAAGGATCTATAACTTATACTAAAAAATCAGCCTTTCACAGGAAAGTTTTGTCCAAATCTCGAACTGTTTTGACCATCTAAATGTTAATATTTTTCAAAACTGTTTTACATGCATAAAGTTCAGGTTTCTACCTTTAAAATTACTACCCTCACATTTTCATAAGATTTTTATACAATTTTTGGCGAATTTTACAAAACCGCCTATCAGATTTGAAATAATTTCGGACCAGCCTGTGAAGGTGAGCAATTTCACACTTGTTAGAAGCCAATTAAAATTATAAGAAATTTTTTGAAAAAAGTAGACAAAATTTCCAAACTTCCAGAATTTACGGATCCAAATTTCGACTTATGATGATTTTTCTACAAATTTTCCAATAACTAGGTCATAAAATCCCAAAACCAGAAAAATGTGTATTTTCACTAAAGTCAAGCCAAAAATGATATTTTTGATAAAAATGGGTTAGAAATGTTATTTTTATTAAAAGTTACCCATGAATGCAATTTTTGTACAAAAATGGGGACTAAAGTTTATTTTTACAAAATTGGGCCTTAATTGTAACAAGGGCTTATTGGGCCAAGAACGTCTTTTTTACAAAAAGTGGGCTTTTATGATAATTTACTGAACACTTGAACCAAAATTAATGATAAACTAACAAACGGATTAATTTAATCATATTGTAGGTTATTTGGGTCTTTGTGACCCATTTTTATGTGTGATAGGTCCTGTATACTATTTATATGTTTATTGGGCCTCATAGATCCATTAACATGTGCGACGGACCTTTAATACTATTTGTGTGCTATTTGGGCCTTAGTAACCCATTTTTATGTGTGATAGGTCTTGTATACTATTTATATGTTTATTGGGCCTTATTGACCCATTAAAATGTGCGACGAACTTTGAATACTATTTGTGTGCTATTTGGACCTTAGTGACCCATTTTTATGTGTGATAGGTCCTGTATACTATTTATATGTTTATTGGGCCTCGTTAACCCATTAACATGTGCGATGGATCTTGAATACTATTTGTGTGCTATTTGGGCATTAGTGACCCATTTTTATGTGTGATAGGTCATGTATACTATTTATATGTTTATTGGGCCTTATTGACCCATTAACATGTGCGACGGACCTTGAATACTATTTGCGTGCTATTTGGGCCTTAGTGACCTATTTTTATGTGTGATAGGTCCTATATACTATTTATATGTTTATTGGGCCTCATTGACCCATTAACATGTGCGACGGATCTTGAATACTATTTGTGTGCTATTTGGGCCTTAGTGACCCATTTTTATGTGTGATAGGTCCTGTATACTATTTATATGTTTATTGGGTCTCACTGACCCATTAACATGTGTGACGGACCTTGGATACTATTTGTGTGCTATTTAGGCCTGTAAATACCTTACATGTGAAATGGGCCTTAGTTGTCCTTTCATATATATTTCGGGCCCATGTTATATAATCTTATTCCAATTGGGCCTTGAAATGATTTACATGTTTAGTGATGACTTAGTGGTTCACTTACATGGTTCATTGGGCCTGGAATGACTTTATACTTTTCTTCCTGTAAATTCGATTAAGGATCTTGTGAGTTTTGTCGGTTGGCACCTATTAAGTGTACGATCGTAGCCTGTAGTTATAACCAGAATCTCTTGGAAGGAGAGCGGGGATTTGTGTATAGATCTATATGGGGATGACACCCCACACCTGAGTTGTTCGCTACAGTTAGACTAACTCAGTCTAGGGTGACAAAAACCTTATAATCAATAATCAAAACCGGCGTCCAACAACGCCGAGACAAGCGAAATTGTCATTATTTAGTATGGTTATGACGGCTCACTTAGAGGAATTAACGTTATGAAGTTTACGGAAGACCATTCTCTTTTCTCTTGGATTACTCGGAAACATAATCGTACTAGTACTCAACCTCGGGGGTTGGTATGGGAGCTTTCTCTTTTACAGACAACATCGGGTTGTCTGAGAACATTCTCTTTACATGCTCTTTACATTCTCTCTACATTCTCTTTACCATTTTTAGAAAAATAAACAATAACATATATGCATTAATACAAGATCTGACACAAACATACTAAACAGTTTGCAGAAAATATAGGATTTTCTGGTGGTTTTCAAAGTTTTACAAATCATTTTCACAAATATGCTTATGAACTCACCAATATTTTTATGTTGACCGTTTTCTGGTTTTCAAAATAATTTGTATTTTCAAAAAACCGTTGAAGCAGGATGAATGAAACAAACTAATGGATATTATGTTATATTTTGTTTCATCATACTCTTACTATTTTGGCATGTAATATTCAAATACAATACTCGATGTAAACAATGAATGTTGTTATATTATATGTGTGATGATGATGATGTTATGTTTCAATTATATTCACTGTAATGATATTTCAAGATGAAGTCACGCACAAGCCCCCGGACGTTTCCGCCGTCTGGTTCGGGGGTATGACATAAAACACACCAAACTAAAATACTTAATTCATGAAAGATTTTTGAAACATCATTTTCCTATTTTACCCTTTGACTTCAAGACACAAACCAAGGTTTTAATCACTTATCCAACATTATCATTATTCGATAAGATCTAAAACCCATTCCCTTGAAGCCCAATGCATTTACTTGATCCATTTATTGTCCACAATCCTAGAATTACAAACTTTTCGAATGAGGATGTTACAAACCTAAAAAAATTAACCTATCTTTTTTTCATTGTTTTTTAATAAAATAATAAAATAAAAAATAATAAGTGTCCAAAATAGACACAATCTTCGCATGATGCATCTATGAAAATCAACGTTGCTTGTTGTCTTATTTTCCCAAAACGTATTTTAAAAAAGTTGACTGTGAAAATGTAACTTTTGAATGTGAAAATTTTATGGACTGCCAAAATATCATTGGCATAAGGCCTGATTCAGTTCTACGGACATATAAATAGATAAAAAGTTATTTCCTCTCGTTTTAACACAAATTTTTTTTCTAAAGTACACAAATTCTTCTAAAAACAATGGATGAAAAGGATAAGGATCTTCCTCAATCAGTTAGTTATTCATATTTATCTACGTTTTTATTTATTTATTTATTTATTTACTTTTATTTTTTAATTATTTTTTTTTATTTTATGTTTATAGCCCGAAAATTAGGGGTTGTAGCATTTGGTACTAGATTTCGTTATTTATCTACGTTTTTTTTTTTATTTTTTTTTTTTATTTTTTTTATATTTTTTTTTATTTTATGTTTATAGCCCGAAAATTAGGGGTTGTAGCATTTGGTACTAGATTTCGTAGGTGACAGTAGGTACCCACTTGCGAAAACGCTCAATCTATAAGCACCTATTGGTTTACTAACTATTCCCAATAAAAATGTTCAATATATCAAACTTATTTACACGAACTTTCAATTTATAAATCAACCAATCACGTTTGTAATGCAACTCTGGAAAAAAAATGAGAACTTTGATATCTATATCTTAAAATGGTGGCAAGAAAGTGAAAAGCTTGATCAATACAAAGTCATAGCCAAAATGGCTTGGGGTACTCATGATCTAATCTAGTATCATATGTTAAGTTGCGGAGTCTGATTCGTCATTTAAACCAAGCATGAAGTCTCTATACTAAAAGAGCGTACCGGGGGTCAAAGAGAGCTGCACCCTTGCATGGGCAAGGGTAGATTCCTCATAGTTTATTGGCTTGGTCACTTGACCTTATTAGCAGATGGCAGATATTATGTCACCCTACTAGTATATATGGATCACTTGAATTCGTGTAACGTGCACTAAGAAAAATTGATACAATAACTGTAATTTGATAGTATCAATAAAACATTTATCCCGTGTTTGTCTGTGGATATAGCCGATCATTTTGATCGTGTGGACCAAGTTAAATATTTTGTTCTTGCATTTCCTTTGCATTATTACTTTGTGTGTGAACTCGTTTCATGAAGTGCTTAAACCTTGACATCATAACTTCGTAGTCTTGTTTTTTTCTCTCTTAGTGTCATAATTTTAAGTGCGAAAAGAGGCGTGTTGAGACATGAATTGGTGCAAGTTATGTAGTTTCATATGTTATATTTTTACAAATTATGTAATTTAATAAAAAATTAATAATTTTTTTGATATTAATGAAACGTTGAAGTTTTTTTATTTTAGTATTATGAAACAAAACCACTAGAAAAAACTCCAACCCAAACAAAAAGACAAACACCATAGCTGTCCGGTCTTGACAAAAACCGAAAAAATACCAGAGCTGTCGAAGAATCTGAGACGAATCGGGTAAGTGGATCTAATAACCAAGGCCCAAGGGTATCAGGTTTGGGCCATTTTCCCATTGTAAGCCCAATTGTTGACGTAGAAGGTATTTGGGCTGTGCTAGCCCAATCTCATTTCTCTTCACGGAACCTAGCATCCCGAAGGTTGCCTGGTACGACCTTCACCTGAGCTCGGCCGACCTGCAGAGACCTACAGCCGATTCATTCATTCACGGCTACAATAATGGATTAGGCTTGGTCTGAAATTTTCGATGAGGGTTTGACATCGATGATGGTTGATTCGATGGGTCGGCTTTCTTCATCAATTCACACACAAAACTTGCCAACCCTTTGTTATGGTTTTAGATGGGGACGGAGTGGCTGACTCAATCTTCAGGTGCTATATTTGCTGATTCTAGATTGAAGGGTACGTGAAAATCTTTGCGAATCCTTCACTTTCCATTAGCAGATTAGCTTAGGAACAATGCCATTGAGGTTGCCCAATCATTTCCCAAGAACCCATATTTTTCCAATCTATTTGTTCACCGTCTCTAAGCTTCAATGGGCTTCCAAATTTTCTTCGATCTCGAAATATCAACGCCAAACCGGAGGCGCAGCCTCCGTTTGGTTCGTTAAGGTTGTATGCACTCTATATGTTCGACGTAAATCCTCAGTGACAGAAGTTCGCATTTCCGATTATCTTCAAAAGAAATTAGATTCCTCGATTGCTTTTACTGTTATGGAGCATATGAATACTAACTGGAACAACCCGAATTTGGCTTTTAGGTTTTTAGAGTATACAAAGGTTACGTTGAATCTTGTTCATTCCTTTGAAACATATAGTTTTCTTGTAAGGTCATTTTGTCAATCGGGTGTTCCTGATGCAGCCAAACTAGTAATCGATTCAATGAGGATTGATAACCTGTCACCAGATAGTTCTCTTTTAGGGTTTGTAATTACATCATTTATCATTTCTGGTAAACTTGAAGTTGCCATGGAGTTGATTAGTGATTATTCTCAATACAGATCAGAAAAAGATGATCCCCTCAGTTGTTTTGTGTTTAACAGACTTCTGAGTTCCTTAATAAGGATCAACAAGGTGGATGAAGCTGTATCTTTCTTTGAAAAAGTAATTCTAAGATCACAATGCTATTCCCCTGATGCTTATACTTTTAACATAGTCATCTCTGGTCTATGCAAAGCTAGAAAGGTTAACAAAGCTTTTGAGTTTTTCAATCAAATGAAGGAGTTTGATTGTTTTCCTGATAAAGTCACCTATAATACCCTTTTGGATGGATTTTTTCGTGTTGGAAATGTCAAAAAAGCACACGAGTTATTGCAAGAAATGTTGATTATAGATGGATTTTCATGTTCACCAGATGTTGTGACTTTTACTTCAGTTATAGAAGGGTACAAAAAACTAGGTAAGATGCAAGAGGCTTTACTCCTCTTTGATGATATGATCAATCTTGGAATCAAACCCAACAATTTCACCTTCAATGTTATGATTGATGGGTTTGGAAAAATTGGAAATATGGTTTCTTTATCAAGTTTTTATAAAAAAATGCTTGATTTTGATTGTAAACCCGATGTTATCACCTTCACATCTATCATTAATGGCCATTGTCGCATAGGTGAAGTCTCAAAAGCCTTCAAGATTTTAGATGAAATGAGTAGAAGAAATTTACACCCCAATATTCGCACGTTTTCAATACTCATCAATGCTTTGTGTAAAGAAGGTAGATTAAATGAAGCACATGATCTTTTACAAGAATTGAATAAAAGAGACGATATTGCCCCTAAAGCCTTCATCTACAACCCTGTGATTGATGGGTTTTGTAAAAGGGGAAATGTGGATGAGGCCAATGTGATTTTTAAAGAAATGGAGGAGAAAAAAGTGAATCCTGATAAGTTGACATTTACTATTTTAATAATAGGGCATTGTATGAAAGGGCGAATGGTTGAAGCAATAAGTCTTTTTGAGAAGATGGTAAAAGACGAATGTGCCCCTGATTCGATTACTGTGAATTCATTGGTGTCACGCCTTTTAAAAGCTGGAATGCCTAAAGAAGCTTATGAAATAAAGAAAGTTGCTTTAGGGGTACCCTTGATGGAAAAAGATGGTTTTATCAGTAAAAATTTGGGTATCCCTGTGGCTGTGTGACTGATGATGTGGCGTTTTGAAGTTGCATTTTGGACGTATTTGTCCTCGAGAGGTCATCAGAGTATGCAAGATGGCTTAACACTTGGCATTATCAGGTATCCAAAAGTATTACATTTTACATATGTTTATAGTTATGAAATTTTACTTTTTAAGAACAAATTAGTTTCCAATTTTAACCTTTGAATGTTTCTTTTACAGGTCAACTCTCGTTTGACTTTCACCACAAAAATGGTGGATTTTAGCACATGGGCAAATATTAGAATATCTTTTATCAGAAGACTTGATGCATGAAGAGGTTGGGGGATACAAAGTGAAGGACTATTTGTTGCTTGAGTTGTTCAGGTAAAGCCCCAAAGACTTAGTTAAATTTAGGGTAGATTAGGAAATAGCAATGTAATTTACTCTTTTACCCATAATAGCAATATACTTATAAATCCTTACTAATTATAGCAATTTGTAAGATTATCGATAGCAAAAGTTGCTATTATTATGTGTAAAAACTAAAAACTAAAAAGTATAAGTATGCTGTTATTATGAGTACATTGCTTTTGTGGGTAAATAATAAAGGACATTGCTATTCTCCATAATTTGCAAGATGGCAAAATACTTACATTTGTTATTTAAATTCCATTTATTCCAGGTGATATAAAAAACCCAGATTTCAACTTGTTAAAGAATGATATATCGAAAAATCTAGATGCTGACGTGGCATTTGGTTTGCAGAATGTTATTTGAAAGAATGGAATCTGTTACACGATTTTGAATATGAGGGGATTGTGATTTGTTATGTGTTTAGTCGAAAAAGAATTGAGTAGTTTTTAGATTTCAACTTATAGTTAAAAGATTTTTTTTTACTTTTATTTATTTTGATGAGAGGATTTTGTTCTGTTAGTAAAACAGAAGAATGGAATTGGATTTGAATTGCTCCTGGATTTGGAGCTACGTGTTGGAATTGAATTCCATTCGTGTTTTGAGAAAGTAAATGAAAGAGCTGATTTATATATTTGGATAATTTATCAATAGTATATTTATATCATTGCAATCATGTTAACTAGTTAATTTTCAGTTATTTATTTTTAAATCAAAATACCTGACATAAATCGTTAATAAGTTTTTTTTTTTTTTTTTGAAAAACCACAAATTTCCTAGTTTTTACATGCAAAATTGGCACAATTTTTTTGACCTGATTTCATCTACAAAAAAATTAAAAAAAAAGATAATAAATTTTTTGTTGTAGAAATCCTCAATAACCATTTCCACGATAAAAAAACTTTATATTGTAGTCTTGACAATATATATATATATATATATATATATATATATATATATTATATATATATATATATATATATATATATATATAGGGGTGGCAATCCTCGACCCAACCCGTAACCCGAAAGTGACCCAACACGAAAATAAACGGGTTTGGGTTGAGATTTTTGACCCGCCAACCCGCCAACCCGTTTATTTAATGGGTTGGGTTGGGTTACCTGTTTGGGTTCGCGGGTCAACCCGCCAACCCGATTATATATATATTAGGTTTAAAAAATACATTTAATTATTTATCACTTTTGATTTTTTAATTATTTATCAAATACTGTATCCGGTGCCCTAGCCCCTAAACATCAAACAATTCTCCAAATTGGCAAAATCCAAAATCCAAACTCATCATCGGCACTGCTCACGAACAGACGAACTATCGCAAGTCTCATACTCTCATCTCCGTCGATCAGATCACGCGATTGGCACTAAGTCGCTTCGTCGCAGTCTCGCAGACTCGCAGTCGTCTTCCGCTGCTACCGAGTACCGACGTTGTCCGACGCTAAGTCGCTAACCCACCTCCATCCTCGATTCTTCCGGTAAGTAACATTGTGACAACCTAAATCTCTAAGCCTCGAAGTCGAACACAGAAAATCCGATTGCTAGCAGCAAGTCTTGTTAGACAATAATCTCTAAGCCTCGAAGTCGAACACAGAAAATCTCTAAGCCTTGATTCGTCTTCCGCTGCTACCTTGTGTTCTTCTCTTCTTCTAATCAATAAATGATTGAATGATTGAGACAATAATCGGGATTTGTTTGATTATTGCATAAATCTCTAAGACTTGAACAAAGCAAGTCCGAGCCTTGACCTGTTGCTAGCAGAAATCATGTACCGATCACTGATCAGAACTTGTTACCCATTGTTTTTTTTTTTTTTTTTTTTTTTTTTTTTTTTTTTTTTGTGATGCTTTCATATTGATCACTAATCAGAAGTTGTATTTTTTTTTAATTGCTTTGCTTCTAACCTGTTAGATAATTGATGATTTCTTTTGGGGTTTTCTAGTAAGTTATGGATAATGAAGATATCACTGTTGACAATAATGTGGAGGGTAACAATGAAGAAAGTGAGAGTGATGATTCAGTTAAAGAAGTTGCAGCACCAAATGACTCTCAAGGAGTTGAAAGTACTTCTACAAAGAAAAGGAAAACAAGGACAACAAGTTCTGATGTTTGGAAAAGTTTTACTAAATTACCTAGAAAAACACCAGATGAAATCCTATATTGTGTTTGCAACAAATGTGGTAAAAAATATCAAGCAGGAAGTGCTTGCGGTACCGGTAATCTAATTCGCCATCGAACCAAATGTGAAAATAATAATACTAGAGAAATTGGTCAATATATGATTTCTTCTAGCAAAGGTGTAATGAATATGAGAACTCCAAAGTTTAGTCAGGAAAGACTTAGGGAATTGTTGATTGAAGCTGTTGTTAGACATGACTTGCCATTCTCCTTCGTTGAATATGAAGGAATTAGAAATATTTGCAAATACTTGGAACCAAATGCCAGTCATATTTGTAGGAACACAGCAAAGGCAGATGTCAAAAAGTTATATACAAGTCAGTGTGATAGACTTCGTGGCGAGTTGCTTAAATGTCCAAGTAGAATATGTTTGACTTCTGATGCTTGGACATCTATTGTTACAGATGGTTATTTGAGTTTGACTGCCCATTATGTTGATAGCAATTGGGTCTTACAGAAGAGGATTTTAAATTTTTCTGAATTTCCTCCTCCACATACCGGTGTTGCTATTGCGGAAAAGATTAGTGGGTTAATAAAAAGTTGGGGAATTGAAAGGAAGCTGTTTTCTATCACTTTGGATAATGCTTCCTCCAATGATGTTTGCGTTGGATTGCTTAAGAATCAATTTCGTTTGATGAATGCTTTAGTATATGATGGTAAGTTATTTCATTTGAGATGTTGTGCCCATA